TTTTGGGTCACACCTGGTGATGCACAGGGGTTATTCCTGGCTCTGCACTCAGGAGTTACTCCTGGTGGTGCTCAGGGGACCATATGGGATGCTGGGAATAGAACCCAGGTCAGCCGCATGCAAGGCAAAAGTCCTACCCGCTGTGCTATTTCTCCAGCCCCAGCTTTCATATGTTGACCATGCTATTTCACCTATGTGGAATTGGGTGTGGGGAGAGTAGCATGGGTGAAAGTTGGGTACTGGGGCTGGAGCGATAGCATAATGGGTATGGAGTTTGCCTTGCACTCAGATTACCTGGGTTCTATTCCCAACATCTCATATGGTCCCTGGAGCACCGCCTGGAGTAACTCTTGAGTGCAGAGCCAGGAGAAACCCCTTGTTTTTTTGTCACCAGGTGTGACAAAAAAAAAAAAAAAGAAAAATTGGGTACTGGAAAGAGGGGCAGTGTGAGACAGGTATGGGGGTCTCAGTGAGACTGGAGTAGGCACACGGGGAGAATGGAATAAATGGTGGAACCGAGATTAATATAAATGGTGACTGATCACCAACCAGCATGGAGGCCATGTTCCCTACTTCGTGCGTCTGTTGGTGGCAGTGGCAGGCTGGGGTGGGGAAGCGGCTCATGGCCACCTAATGCACATGGCGAGCCCACACACACACACAACTATTATTGAACACACATACTCAAGAATGGACCAGGTTCCATGGCAGAAACTGTGCCTATAGGGACACTCCAGGTCCTCCCCTGTTTCTCACATTCCTATCTCCGTTTGTTCTCTCTCTCTCTCTCTCTCTCTCTCTCTCTCTCTCTCTCTCTCTCTCTCTCTCTCTCTCTCTCTTCTTCCCTACCTCTCTAGATCTCCAGGGCTGCTCCCTAAGCCAGTCTGGGATAGAGAGTTCTGCCCAGAGGTGCCAGTACATGCGAGAGGGACGGCTGGATTGAAACAAAGAACAAAAGCCCATCTTTCCTAGAGCTACATGATAAGTGGACATGGTTTCCAAGGTCATAGTGAATTTGAGGGACACAACAGCAGAATAGTGAACCAAGCAACATATATGTTTGCAACCACATTCAGTATTTCTGGATTCCCTTATATTTGCTATATCATTAGTACCATCAATTTTACAAGATGTGGAAATAGTATGCAGCCAACGAAATCAGCATTTTTCACTGACCTACCACTGTCCCTTCCCTTCATCTTCCCACCTCTTTGCACCGGTGTCAGCACTTCCTCTGCTCCTGCTGCATTGCACAGCATCCCTCCTATTGAATACAGCAGACTTAAAGAACTATGAATTCTCACGTGGTGATCGTCTGTGTCTGAGGCTCAGCAGGTGGTTGGATACCCAAGAGAAAATCCATAGCAGGTTCAGAGACAGTTTCAACCCCATGGTTTCAGAAATCAAATCAGAAGAGGACTCAAGACCTGGGACGCAGGAGTCAAGGCACCGGGAGCACATATGCTTCTTTCTAAATTGAACATATGAGACATATTTGCATGAATAAATCTGGAGCATTATGAAAATGACACCGTGTGATTGAAATATCTATGTCACAGATTGGCAAAGAAAATGACAAGGAATCTCATTTCAGACAATACATGACAATGTATTCTTCATTGAAAGCAGCCCATTTGTGCATGAATTTTCACTTTCCCTGAGCAAAGACTGGGCCTTGGCACAGGCGTTGGGAAGGGTGGGCTCAGACAGGAAGGTGACACCTCATGATGTGTTCATAAGGAGCCTGTCCCCCCTCATCACCACACACACAGCAGACACTCCTCTCCCCTGTCCTTGCCATGAGTGCCCTGCTGCTGTACTGTGTGATCCTCTGGATGCTGTAGCCAGGTGATGCCTGGGTAAGGTCCCTTCATCATGAAAATGTCCCCATCCCATGCTCAGCCTTTGCTGTGTCTGCAGCATTGACTTCTTCTTCCACAGGTTCGGGGCAGGCAGATTCTCAGAGTAAACAGCTTGGAGCCCTGCATTTTCAGTCATGCTCTGCGAACTCACTTGTGCTGAGGTTCTGTGGGGAGTCTGAGCCAGACTGGCTAAGACTAGAGCTTGGGGTGGAAATGGCTTTTTCTTTGCTATCTTGTATTCACAGCTATCAAACTTTTTTCCCAGTATTGTTCTTTTGGACACCTTCGAACCTGTCACTGGTTCACACAGTCTGACCTCTACCTCCAGGAATAAGCTGGGAGTCTTTGGCTTCTTTTATATTTCTAAGTGCATAGCAATGTCTCCTTGAAAAACAAATGAACCAGGCCCTAAAATAAAGGGTATTCTAGAAAACGTGACTCTAATTACTCAGCAAGGTAAGTTTCCAATCTAGAACAGCATGGACTCACAAAATTGGAGCTCAGCAACTCTGATCAGATGACAGATGAGAGTTTCATCCTTGGAGTTGAGGGATTAGGCATAAGATCTGGGGTGATAGCAGAATAGAGATGCTTGTCCCAAGAGTATACGTGAAAGGCCAGAGAAATTTACAGTGGGTATGGCACTTGCTTTGCATGTAGCCCTCATGGATTTGATCCCCAGCATCTGGTATGGTTCGCAGGCACTGAAACTGTTACAGGAGTGATCGCTGAGTGAAGAGCCAGGAATGAACCCTAAGGATTGCAAGTTGTAGTCCCAAACAAAACAAAACTTAAAAAAGAAAAGAATAGGGGCTGGATAGATAGTACAGCAGATAGTACAGCAGATTGCCTTACACATGGCCAACACAGGTTCGATTTCCAGTGTCCCTGAGCACCGCCAGGAGTAATTCCTGAATGTAAAGCCAGGAGGCAACTCCTGTGCATTGCCACGTGTGATCCAAAAAGCAAAAAAAAGTTTAAAAAAAAAAGAGAGAAAAGAATATACTTGATTCCTGACAAGATTTGAGCAGAGAGCCAAAAGAGACAAAAGTATGTCAAATAATTTTATCTCAAGGCTTCTAGGATCTCAAGGCTTCTAGGATGAAGTTACAACACAGCAAATATCAAAGTCCCTGGTCCCATCTGCTCTGTGATCACAGCTGGAAAAATGGCCTCTCTGCACATTTTCTCCTGGGCAAGTCATATCTAGCAGACTCAATGTGTGACTCATAGAGCACATTAATGAATAAAATCCAGAATATTTGATTTTAAAATAATATTGTTGCTTTGTAAAAGTCAGAAAGAAGTATGGGGGGAAATACTTCCGGCTAGTTTTCAATTGGCTGGTGATGGAAGGTAGCTTTTTGTGTCCTGTGACTGCATGTTGAGTTTCATAGTAGGAATTTAGTATTTTCTAGAGCAGAGAGCCGCTCTTGGAGAGCCTGGAAAGATACCGAGAGTATCCCGCTGGCACGGCAGAGCCTGGCAAACTCCCCAGAGCATTTTCAATATGCCAAAAACAGTATCAATAATGGGTCTCATTCCCCTGACCCTAAAAGAGCCTCCAATATGCCAGCATTGGGAAAGATGAGTAAGAGGTTGCTGAAATCTCAGGGCTGGGACAAATGGAGACGTTACTGGTGCCCACTAGAGTAAATCGATGAACAATGGGATGACAGTGATAAAGTGATACAGTAGAAATTCAGAATACTTGAGGGTGAATTTGTCCCTCCACAGCTGAGATGTCAGTCTTAGTTTATAAAGGAACATTCACTTGTTGAACAAACATCAGAGGTTGTGTGAAATCATAGTCAACTCCTATGGGACTAACACAGTTATAGTCTATTCTCCAACCCGGATAACTATAAAGTCAACATATAAATTTCTGATAACTAGTTCAATTCCTCCGCCCCTCTCGGAGAGCCCGGCAAGCTACCGAGAGTATTCGATATGCCAAACACAGTAACAACAAAGTCTCCAATGGAGATGTTACTGGGCCCGCTCAGGCAAATCGACGATCAAAGGGAGGGCCTTTACTTTACCTTTACCTTTAGGATATTTTAAGTTCTGCATGAAGGGAAATGGGTCAGAAGAGATGTTTAATATTAGGAATATTATCTATCCAGGCAATGAGAACAAAAGGTCAGTCCTAGATGAATTTGCCTAAATTATAATAAAATCCAACTAAGTTGGCTGATAGGAATTCAAAGATCAATGAATTTAGAAAAATAAATGCAAAATACATGATCATTCTTCATAGAGTGAACTACCTGAAACGTAGAAATGGTTTAAATATCTAAACTTGACATTTGTAATTGAGAGGTTGGGAGCAGCTTTGGAAGATAGGAATCCTACATGCTCACAGTTGAGACAATTTATTTTCATGGTCTGAATTCCTCTGTTTGGTCTCTTTGCATCTAGCATAGGACTTACAATGATGCAACAATAAATCTCATTACCAAAACATTCCTTTAGAAATCTTTGCCTCCAAAGACTTAACAGTGGATTGTGAGATGATCCAACTGGGAAAGCAGAAAAATGATACTTGAAAGGGAGTAACTTGGGAGTTGGTGGAGAGGGGCTTTGAGGAACTTTCTGCACTTGAATTGGACACATGTGAATCCATTAGGCTGAATTACAGGCCACTAGGAGGCGGTATACACCCACAAACTGCAATGGGATTTCCTCCCTCCAAGGAAGGAAACTGTCATGGGTTCAGGAGAAAAACAGATTTTTGTGGCAGACGAGGCAGGTGGTTTGGCTTCACCAGAAGATTCTGGAATGTACACAAGCTAACCCAGCCTCCTAAGCCCTCGGAGTGCAAATGCATCAGGAACCTCAGTCAAGAGCAGAGAAGCTGGGCCAGAAATGGAGGGAAAAGGAGCCGGGGCAGCTGGAATAAGAAATTGGGGTCAGACAAAGCAGGTTCGAGAATAAGGTTCATGGAAGGAAAGGCAGTCACCTTACTTTGAAAGACTTCACAGTAGGAAATGACATCTAGAATCTCCTGACAGGTAAATGGTGCCCCAGACCAGGACCCAGACTTCAGGCAGGGCACATAACACAGAGACATCACACAGTGACATCACAGAGTGACATCAGCACCAGGAGGACAGAGCTTGGAGCCTGCCCTCCCCTAGGGGCTGTCTGGGCCTTGAGGTTGCCATGGGCTCCAGGCTCCTCTACTGGGTGGCTCTTGGGCTCCTGGGAGCAGGTGAGTCCTGGGTACAGGGGGGGCCTGGGCTGTGCTTAGCCAGGCCTGGGAACCCCCTGCCCACCATGCTTAGCAGGAGGTGCCCCTGTGTCTGCCTCAGCCCTTTCTCTCTGCTCCCCAACAGGCCCTGCGGATGCTGAGGTCACTCAAAGCCCCAGACACCTGGTCAAAGCAAGGAGTCAGCCAGTGACCCTGACATGCAACTATAAATCCGGGCATGACTCTGTGTACTGGTACCAACAGGGCATGGACCACGGCCTCAAGTTCCTCATTCAGTATTACAGTGGGGAGGAGAGAGAAAAAGGAGACATCCCAGCTCACTTTTCAGTCCAACAATTCATGAAGAACTCCAGCTCTAAGTTGAGCGTGAGCTCCGTGGAAGTGGCCGACTCTGCCCTGTACCTCTGTGCCAGCAGCTTATCACAGCCCTGCCTGCTCAGCTGCCTCCTGCACAAAAACACCCCTGGACAGCCCAGGAAGTGGCAGTGTGGGAGGCTGCCAGCCAGCAGTGCCCAGACTATAAGGACATTCCCTTTATGATGGTATCTGAGAATGGCTTTAATTCTCCAGAGTCAAGCAGGAAAAGAGTTTTACCAGTTTATACGCATGAAAGGAAGTAACTTTCCCAGGTACATTTTTCAGGACTGGAGGAAAAGGAATCAAACACTTTTGCTATTCCTCAGTAGTCATGTTCCCCTAACCTCCTCCTATTGACAGTTCCCTAACTTGGTTTCCTGTTTATAGTTCCAGATTAGCAGAACTGGGAACATCTGAATCCTAAGTGATTTTCTACAATCTCTCCCCTGACAACCTCAAGGAATATACAATACCAGGTAAAAAAGATATCCTGATGCTTAACACCAAAAGAAGGAACAATAAAATCCAAGACCTATCCCTAGGTGTCACATGGACAGAGACCCTGTGACCTCTATCCAGGGGATCAGAGGCTGATGGATCCCAGATATGCTTTCTCAGGTACACAGCAGTGTGAATGGAATTTCCATCTGCAATGGAAAGAACTCCCTTCTGCACATGAGACAGTGGCCACAAGAAGATGTGACATCAGTGATCCTTACTGTCTGTTCAGTACACATTCAAGGGACCATTTTTTTTGTACCAAGTATTGCATTATATGAAATAATTAGTGACAATACACATATTTCCTGACCTGGAGAGTTTTATGGTTTATAATAGCCAGTGTGTAATTATTCCCCTCTTGATCTCTGTGGTACTCTGGACACTACTTCCCACATATACTGGTCAATTACTGAGCTACCAAATAGTTCCAAGAATATAGTTGCAAAGGATCAAAATAGTGTTTTTATGTCTGGTATTGTTCCTCACATATCTGTTCACCTCTCTCAGTGGATTATCTGCTTGTACTACAGTTGGCAGGTGACCCTCTCACTGATTTGACATGACACAAATCAAAATGAGTCCAAAAGTTTTGGTTATCAACAATGAAGTATGGCTGCCAGACATTCATATAAGGTGGAGGAATTTTTACAACAGGTACAAAAGCAAATCAGAAAATATTACAGAGTATGTGGCATATGGGTTTGGTGTAAGGACTGGAGACCCATAAGGCAACTCACTTTTCCTCTGCATATTAGACGTAAATTCACAAATTAATCCAGTGAATTATGAAAGTTAAACCACATGGCTGAATTATAAGCAATTCACCAGCTGTCTCAAAAGAGAAACAAGGAACTATGTCAATTTTACTCTTGGGCCAGAGAGATAGTAAAGGTAGGAAGGTGCTTGTCTTTCCTGCAATGACACCATATATGATCAATCTCTGAAACCACTTACAATCCCCCTAGTTCTAAATAATGGGGATCCGTGAGCACAAAAAAATAAACCAAAGCAAAACTCCCCAAATAAAATAAAATAAAATAAAATAACACTATTCATTCTAAGAACCTCACTGGATATTATTTTTATTTGACCCTGTTGAGAAGGGGCCTAGTTTGGAACACAGACAGGAAGATAACAAACACTTCAGAACAACCTCTGAAGAGTACGGACATATCAGCAACATATACACATTCTCCTTCTTCTTTGCTCTGCCATGAGCAAGGGGCCAGAGGATGTGATGGCATTTCAAATACATCCTTGGGTCAGTTCTGTTATAACCAAGGAAACATGACAGTTTGCCTAAATAAAAAATTTTGTGATGGATATGATCCGCACAATGACCTGATAACAAACCAAAATCCAATCACCAGAGATGAGTGGGTAACATATCTGTCTTATGGCATTGTGGGACAATGTGGTAAAGAAGTTCACGCCATGCATAAACTTGACCCTCTAACTGGAAAGTGTCGACTGTGCAGTGGCCTACAAAATGAGATCATTGAAAGATGGTTTCCCAAGATAGTCTTCCCTGCATGCATCATGCATTTTCCTAGGAAGGAACTTCCAGCCTCTCTGCTTCCTAAATTCGCTGAGCATCCAGCATCTTCCAAGTTCCCCAGGATGTAACCACAGAACAAATATTCAGCTGTTTAGGAGGTGTAATCAGGATGTTGTATTTACTAATTTACTAACACAAGGACATATAACTTCAAGTAAAACACATTTTGTTCTCAGATTTCAGGATTGAGGTGTCACCTGGGTCGTTTTGTTGTTATAGACCTTGTGGTTGGTTTTGTAGGGTTCTGGCTGATGTGGGGTCAGTGATCAACTCCAAAATGCTCAACTGCCACCAGGTCCACAGCAGAAGATATGAGGGCCATGCATCACATCTAGCGTAAGCCAAGAAAGTGCTCTTCTTAATCACAATCACTTGAACCTAATTAGTTTTGCAACCTAGTTTTAGATGAAGTGCTGGAAGAACAATCTTCGATTCAAGGACTTTGAGAAGCAGCTCCATTGTTTTTGTCTCAGTGCCTCATTCAGGATTCAAACTAGATAAGAGTTGGGGCTTCTTGTCCAGTGAGCTTAAGAAAAGATTCTTTGTCAGGCAGTCAAAGGAATATCTCTGTAAGCCCGTGGTCAGCAGAACCAGAGTTTCTTCTTTATAATAAAGCATGTCCGTTAATGGGAAATGGTGTTAGATAGAGGAATATGATTTTCACAGCTAAGATATTTCTTCAGATTTTTTCCAGATGCCCAGTGATAGAAAAGGGGCTGTCTACAGTTTTAAGGATGTATGCACTGACATTTCTGGGTATGAATGTCAGTCTATGTACAGCTACCTTGTGGATAGGTCATATCATTATTCATTTCTGGAGTTTATAAATATGAGAATAAATAGGAAAAGTATACAAAGATTTATACAAAGGGCACTGACTGAATTCGGTTGATAATTAAGTTCAATAGATGGGAGTGTCTAAATATGATTTTTCAGGCGCAGCTCTGGATGAGCATACTAAATGTCCATCCACTTGATATTTATTGGTGGCCTGAAGGCTTCTAGTTTGTCTCGACCATCTTAGCATAGTAATTGCTCATCAGTGGAATGCTGGTTTGGACAATCTTTTCCCTCCACTATCTAAAGCTGGATTTGAAAATCAATCTCAATTCAACAGTCCATGCCATCAGGAAACGGCTGTCTGGTGGATGTGTTAAGGCTGAGAGGAAAATTCTGTTGTTGATCAGACATTTGTCCATATGGAGATTCTGTGGGTCAAGGATTTCCAGGAACCTGGAGGGGGAGACAGTGACCCAGGAGATAAGAGACAGCATGGATGTCACTTCAGTGATTGTATCCTAAAAAGTGGCACTGGTGATACTCCCATAGGCCAGGCAAGCACAGAGGCACCTGGAGCCTCAGTCTGCACTGGGAGGCCAGGATACAACCACACAGGAAGTAGAGGCAAAGACTGGGGCGGCAGGGGGAGTACTGGTATAAAAGGCAGGCACAGGCAGAGGAGAGCAAGGTGCATGAGGGCATCTGAGGACAGTTCTCCAGGGCTTTACTGAGAAACCCCATAAGTAGAGAATGCCACAGAGAGAATCGATACTGAAGCCAGGGACCCTGGGCCAAAGCACAGCTCTCAGACTAGGGAACATCACACAGTGACATCGCACAGTGACATCACAGCAGAGGCTCCTATCAGCACCAGGAAGACAGAGCTTGGAGCCTGCCCTGCCCTAGGGGCTGTCTGTGTCCTGAGGCTGCCATGGGCTCCAGGCTCCTCTACTGGGTGGCTCTTGGTCTCCTGGGAGCAGGTGAGTCCTGGGCACAGGTTGGGCCTGGGTTGTGCTTTGCCAGGCCTGGGAACTCCCTGACAACCATGAGGGCTGCATCAGGAGTTGCCCCTGTGTCTTCCTCAGCCCTTTCTCTCTGCTCCCCAACAGGCCCTGCGGATGCTGAAGTCACTCAAAGCCCCAGACACCTGGTCAAAGCAAGGAGTCAGCCAGTGACCCTGAGATGCTCGTATGAATCTGTGCATGACTATGTGTACTGGTACCAACAGGCCCTGGACCAGGGCCCTCAGTTCCTTGTTCAGTATTACAATGGGGAAGAGTATCGAAAAGGCAGCATCCCTGATCACTTCTCAGTCCAACAGTTCAGTAAGGACTTCCGCTCTGAGCTGAGCGTGAGCTCCGTGAAAGTGGCCGACTCTGCCCTGTACCTCTGTGCCAGCAGCTTATCACAGCCCTGCCTGCTCAGCTGCCTCCTGCACAAAAACACCCCTGGCCAGCCCAGGAAGTGGCATGAGGGAAGCAGCTAGTTGGCTACACTCAGCCTATTCAGAGGACCATCTCTGTCCTCATGTACCAGAGAGGACTTGATAAAAGCTCAGGTCATGTGTTTTTTTTTTTTCCCACCTGTGTATCTGAATGAGGGGAAATAACTTTCCAAGATTCACGTTTCAAAACTAAAGGGACAAGAAATACAAAATTGTCATTCCTCAGTGTAGGATAACAATTGATTTCTCCTTTTCTCCCTTGCCACATGGAGCTTTCAATGTTTAAAATGTTTTCTTTAAAATTTTGAGTTTACCTCAGGGGGAGCCATATACAGCAGCTGAAAATCATTTTCAGGAAGATGCACAGACTCAGAAAATTATTAATTCATTTCTTTAAAACGCGACTAAATGACTCTGATCACCCTTGAACAGTGCAGGACTATTGGACACTTTACAACAAGCACTGCTCTGGGTTCAGGGGCGGACTGAAGTTCGAGTACAACAAATGAGACTGTTTTGTGACTGGAATTGTTCTATTTCAAAATCTTGTGTTTTTGTAAACAGAAAAGGGGGAGATGTAGGATAACAATTGATTTGTCCTTTTCTCCCTTGCCACAAAGAGCTTAAACTTATCAGGTTGCTCCCAAGTCACTCCCATTCCTGTTTATCTGTAACCACTTCTCTATGCTCTCCGCCCCAACCAGTTAATCAGCTTTTCCCCTAGTCAGAATCTGTTAATTTGTAAGGTCAGATCCTTGTAGGACACTGAACTTGTAAATTAATATTGCCTTTCTCCTCTCCTTATGTCTTTTGAATAGATTACCTTAATGCAATGTCCTGTTTGTATAGATATAGGAAGACAGTTAATATTATGTTTTGTAACTTAGGATTTAATTGGCTTTGAATATGATTCACTCCTGAGCATCTGCTTTCTCGGCTTAAGCCTCAGTTGCCCTCACTTCCTAGCACCCCCAAAAGCAGGGTCACGACGAGGGACTGGATGGAACCAGAGCAAGCTGGTAAGCTATGTGATACCCTGACATCACAATTGGCCAGGCCAAAGTGCCACAATTCTTAACTATAAGTTAAGAGCTTGATCGTAGACAAGAGAATCTGGGGTGACAGGTCTGAGAGAACCTGGGCCCTCCATGACATAAATTTCTTTTATGGAATATAACAAGACTGTAAGAGTGGGCTGGGGTAGGCAGAGGAGAGACAGGAGTGAATGGAGAGAGGATTGGAATAAACTGCAACTAAGACCAACCAGCCTGGCCCTCGTTTCCTTCCTTCACGGACCATCGCCAGTGACCTCCCTGGAGTGGGGAAACGACCTTAGACTATCAAACGTGGACAGCGGAAGAGATAGACCGCTGCAATCCTTTTGTGTTTACACACTCAGCAGAAATGTTTCTCCATCTACCCCCAAAGACATTCCCTCTACCTTCTTTCTTAGTTCAGATTAGCAGGACTTGGAGCATCATGAATCTTCAATAATTTACTCAACCTTTTTCCTGAAAACTTCAAGGAACACGTGAATTTAAGCAAAGTGTTTTCAGTGTAAAGTCTCCATTCGAGACTTTGTTGTTACTGTGTTTGGCATATCGAATATGTCACGGGGAGCTTGCCAGGCTCTGCCGTGCGGGCGAAATACTCTCGGTAGCTTGCCGGGCTCTCCGAGAGGGGCAGAGGAATCGAACTCCGGTCAGCCATGTTGGCTGCGTGCAAGGCAAACGCCCTACTGCTATGCTATCTCTCCTATGACAAACCAAATGACACAAAAACCTATGAGCTATATATCTGCATTCCTGCTATATTTCTGCATTCCTCTGTCTTGTGGAGCTGGGTTCAGTGGACTCCTTCAGGGAGACTCTATAGATACCAGGATCGCAGCTGTGCATTCCAAGATACACACCAGTGTGGAGGTATTTGCCATGAAGAAACCTGTCTGCATTGCAATGGCTGGAAAGAAATGAAACAGAAATGATTTTCATTCAATCGCTAGTGTTTGTTTTTCAACGTTTAGGGGACCATCCTCTGCTTATTCCCCAGGCATGCACCTGATGAGACTGACAGTGAAAATAAGCATGTTTTCTGACTTGCACTCTTTATAGGCCCAAGAGAGCAAATGTGTTGTAATTACTCTAGAGAGAATCACAGTGATTCTTTGGCAACCGTCTCTCACATATGTAGGTCTGTTGTGGAACTGCAGAATTGCTCCAGGTAGGTAGAAATGAATGCTTTCGTCTGCCAAGTAGAAGTCCTACACTTTTAAAACTTTAATTAGGAATCATAAAATTACATGCAATTACTTTTCCCACTTAAAAATATTGAGGGAACTTGTTCTTAAGATAAAGAATTTGACCAAGTGAAATAGCTATTAAGATGAAAATCTGGCATCTAATCCTGTCTATTTGCCTCTAATTTCCAGTGTTATACCTCTGCTGCCACATATTTCCACAGGAAGAAAAAAAATACATCAAAATGAGACCTGTGTCCATGTGTTCCTCTGAACTAACAGGCAGTTCTAATTTTATGTTACAGCCAGAGAAGGACTCACTCAGGGAAGGGTGGGGTAGAGGAAAAGTCCCTCCCTGACCACCCCTTGCTGGGTCCCCCTTCCTGCTATATGCCTTTTCTCTCCTGAGCAGACAAACGTAGAACCCACTCATGGCAGGCAAGTTCCAGGCAAGTTCCAGGGCACAATTTCTACTTATTTGGACACACTAAAGACCCTCCTTTGCTATTGTCTGAAATCTTACTATTGTTCCTTCAAATGTAAGGGATGTTTGAGCTGGTGAAAGGATTCTTGATTGGAGGTCTTTTCCATTCAGCACTTTGGATATATCATTTATTATCTTTCGGGTCAGTGGAGTTAGTTGTTATGAGTCTTATGAGGGTTTCCTTACTCAGAATCTCATAATTTTTTTTCCTGCTTTTAATCTCTCTCAGACCTTGACTTCCCCTACTGGCACCAACAATTTTCATCTTTATTCTTCTTGATGATATCTCATAGATTCCCTACACTGCAATTTTTAATTCTGACTTGGTTTTGTTTTGGACTGACACCCAGCAGTGCTCAGGGCTTTGTCCTGTCTCATGCTCAAGGATTACTCCTGGCAGAGCTTGGAGAATCAAAAGTACTGCTGGGGACCAAACTCAGGATGGCTGTATGCAAAGGGAGCATCCTATTCATTGTACTATCTCCCCTGTCAGAATTCTCGTAAGTATCGTGGTGCTTTGGCCTGGCCCATTTTGATGCCAGGGTAGCTCACAGATTGCTCACAGCTTGCCCAGGGTCTATTCAGTCCCTTGTAGGGACCCTGCTTTTTGGGTTGCTAAGAAGTAAGGGGAACTGAAGCTTAAGCCGAGGAAGCAGATGTCCAGGAGTGTATATTATTTGGAGTCAATTAACTCCCAAGTTACAAAAGCATAATATTAACTGTCTTCCTGTGCCTATACAAAAAGGACATTGCTTTTAAGTAAACTGTGTAAAATGACATAAGAGAAGGAGAAAGCAATATTTCATTCACAAATATAAAATCATAGATTTCTGAGGAATCTGACCTTACAAGTAAACAGAGTCTGATTAGGGAAAAAAAGGTGATAGACCGGTTAGGGAAGAGAGCACAAAGGAGAGTTTACAGATAAACACAGAGGAATGGAAGTGCCTCAGGAGCACTGTGATAAACCTAAGCTCCCTGTGGCAAGGAAAACAGGATATAACAATGTTATCCTAAAATCTTTAGAGCTAAATTCCATTAAACACAGAAAAATGGAGGTGCTTCAGAAGCACTGTGATAGGTATTACCCAACAAACCTAAACTCTTTGTGACAGAGGAGAATGGACATACCAATGTTAAACCTAAAATGTTTAGAGCTATATTCCAACATCTATAAATTTAATTCTCATAACTAAGATATTTCTTGAAGTGAGCAAAAAGTGTAGGGGAGACTTTCTATAGGAATTTGTGCACCGATGTTTCTGGGTAATGAGAGAAAATTTGGTGTAGTTAATCTATTGATCTATTCTATAATTCACTCTAATATTCCACGATTTTATGATGACAAAAATAAATGTGTGGAGTATGTATACATACATTATGTATACAAGATTTTATAAATACAAAACTAAACGTATAGACTATGTATACATACATTAGCAAATTCTGCACTATCTGAAACTTGTTCATCATTTAGTTGTTTCTAAAGAATAACCACTTGACAGCATCAAACTGTACTTTCATGGGCTGAATTCTTCTGACAGGTCTAGTCCATCCCAGCAAACTAAATATGTTATAATTCACTTTACCAAGTTGCTGGTCCATCTACTTTCTACCTTATCAGGTTAAAGCTAGTGTTGATTTTAACTCTAACTTAGTGAGGCTGGGAGCCATGGAGCACAAACTCAGGATATGGGATGAGTTTGCTGGGGTGCTTTTGCTACAACATAGGTAACAGAGCTAATACAAGTTTGTCTATGAGTTTGCGAGCCTTCGGTCACCAGGAGGCGCTGTGGACCCACTTACTGCCTGCCGGCCTGGAGGGAGACAAGTGCCAGCAGAGGAAGTGTTTTTATCTGCCTATACTGGGGAGGTGGTTTGAGTTCCTTGTGTAGGTTCTGAGACACATAGCGATAACACACGGACCTCTGCCCTGGAAAGTGCTGCTCTATCTTGACCCAGTGAGCAGAAAGTGATCCATTTCCCTGGTACTTTATAGGAAAAAGCTGCGTGGAAAGTTGGGTTTGAGATGGGTCAGGCGGAGAATTCTACTCAGCCCATGTGCACCCTTTGTTGAGTTCCTAGAAGGAGACAAAAACAGTCATGTAGAGGATCTTTCTGCTTTGCCTAGGGAGGACCAGGGCCCTGCCTGCAGTGACACACAGTGACATCACACAGTCACAGCAGAGGCTCCTATCAGCACCAGGAAGACAGAGCTTGGAACCTGCCCTCCCCTAGGGGCTGTCTGGGCTCTGAGGTTGCCATGGGCTCCAGGCTCCTCTGCTGGGTGGCTCTTGGTCTCCTGGGAGCAGGTGAGTCCTGGGCACAGGGGAGCCTGGGCTGTGCTTTGCCAGGCCTGGGAACCCCATGCCCACCTTGAGGGCTGCAGCAGGAGGTGCCCCTCTGTCTGCCTCAGCCCTTTCTCTCTGCTCCCCTACAGGCCCTGTGGATGCTGAGATCACTCAAAGCCCCAGATACCTGGTCAAAGCAAGGAGTCAGCCAGTGACCCTGACATGCAACTATGACTCTAGTCATGACTACGTGTACTGGTACCAACAGGCCCTCGGGAAGAGTCTTGACTTCCTTGTTTCATATTACGGTGGGCAAGAGAATCAGAAAGGCAGCCTCCCTGATCACTTCTCAGTCCAACAATTCACGAAGAACTTCAGCTCTAAGCTGAGCATGAGCTCCGTGGAAGTGGCCGACTCTGCCCTGTACCTCTGTGCCAGCAGCTTATCACAGCCCTGCCTGCTCAGCCGCCTCCTGCACAAAAACACCCCTGGTCAGCTCAGGAAGTGACAGTCAGGGAGGCTGCCAGGCAGTGAGGCTCAACAGTGAAAAGGGCACTTTCTCTCTCCATAGGAGAACATTTAGTCCTACAGATTCATTGAGATTAAGTACTTTTTACTTACATGCATGAAAGAAAGGAACTTTTGGGGATCTCATTGGTTCAACACCATAATGAATCTGATAAACAAACAGCAGAGTATTGAATGAAGTATGGTGCATTTCCACATGATAGTTTGTGTGAAGAAATACATTATTTTTGATCTCCTTTGAATCTCATTATATGATCAATGCGGTCAGTTATTTCACAAGGACATGCACCCCTCCCACTCTGTGTGAAGAAAGGGTTTTCCAATAAACCTATAGCTCCCCCCCTTGGCCAATACTCATCTTCGGTCTGTAATTCACCAGTTCCTAAGTCCTGTCCTCAGAGGCTTCATCTGACAAAGAAAACTCTGCCCTCAAGTGTTACTGGACAGACCTTACATTCTGAAGAAAACTGCATAGAAAATTGATGAATGTGATGACAATATAACAAATGAAACAAGTCCCATAGAGATCTCACAGAGTCATGTGGTCACAGACATCATAAAGGCCACTGGGAATCCATAAAACGTCTTAGGAATCCTCAGAATCACAGACATATTCACGTGAGTAAGGCCATTGAGTTGTGAAAAGTTCATCTTACGAATAAACTTCAGTCAACAGCAAAGAAGCTGAACCGTAAATGGAGGGAAAAATAGCCAGGCAGCTGGAATGAGAAACGGGGGTCAGACAAAGCAGGCCGGAGAATAAAGTGCATGAACTGAACGGCACCGAACTTACTTTGAAGGATGTCAGAGTAGGAAATGACACCCAGAATCTCCTGACAGGCCAGTGGTGCCCTGAACCAGGGCCCAGTCTACAGCAGAGACACATCACACAGTGACGTCACAGCAGAGGCTCCTATCAGCACAAGGAGAACAGAGCTTGGAACCTGCCCTGCCCTGCCCTAGGGGCTGTCTGGATCCTGGGGCTGCCATGGGCTCCAGGCTCTTCTGCTGGGTGGCCCTTGGTCTCCTGGGAGCAGGTGAGTCCTGGGCACAGAGTGGGCCTAGGGTGTGCTTTGCCAGGCCTGGCAACCCCCTGCCCACCATGAGGGCTGCAGCAGGAGGCGCCCCTGTGCCTGCCTCAGCCCTTTCTCTCTGCTCCCCAACAGGCCCTGCGGATGCTGAGGTCACTCAAAGCCCCAGACACCTGGTCAACGCAAGGAGTCAGCCAGTGACCCTGACATGCAACTATGAATCCGGGCATTATAATGTGTACTGGTACCAACAGGGCATGGACAAGGGCCTCAAGTTCCTCATTCAGTATGACAGTGGGAAAATGAGAGACAAAGGAGACATCCCTGAGCGCTTCTCAGTCCAACAGTTCACGAAGAACTCCAGCTCTAAGCTGAGCATGAGCTCCGTGGAAGTGGCCGACTCTGCCCTGTACCTCTGTGCCAGCAGCCTCACAGCCCTGCCTGCTCAGCTGCCTCCTGCACAAAAACACCCCTGGCCACCCAGGAAGTGGAAATCAGGCAGCCAGGCCCCAGTAGTACAAGGACATTCTCTCTGGGCATATTTATAAAAGAGAATTTATGTCCAGAGCCAGTCAGGAAAAATGACTGGGCACTAATTCACATGTATGAGGGCAAACAACTTTTTTACGATTTTACTTTAAACTACCTGGAACTAGTTTAAACTACTTTAAATTAGCTTTAAGCTTTAAACATACTTTAAACTACCTGGGCTGGAGTGATAGCACAGCAGTAGGGCATTTGCCTTGCGCATGGCCGGTCCGGCTGACCTGGGTTCTACTCCTCCGCCCCTCGACCCTCTCTGAGAGCCCGGCAAGCTACTGAGAGTATTTCGCTCCCACGGCAAAGCCTGGCAAGTTACCCATGACAAATTTGGTATGACAAACACAGTAATCAGAAGTCTCACAATGGAGACGTTACTGGGCCCGCTCGAGAAAATCAATGAAGAAATGGAGGACAGGACAATGACAGCCGGGAATCAAAGATGCTTCGTCCCTCCACAACTGTGACTTCCACCTCACTCTTGAGAGAGTTCTTCACCTCCTATGATTCCTCTCTGGTCCAGAAGAACAAAACTGGAAACCTTTCACAAGGAATTCCCTGAGAATCCCCAAGAAGCATGATCGGGGCTAAGAATAGTCACTGGTTTTCCCTTGGGTAAAGGGAATCAGAAATTTCTGCATCTTGTTCTCTTGTGAAGGTGGCCAAAGGATCACTTTCCTAAACTGTTTGAGGGCTGGAGAGATAGCACAGCAGGTAGGGTATTTGCCTTGCACGCGGCCGACCCAGGTTCGATTCCCAGCATCTCATATGGTCCCCTGAGCACCGCCAGGAGTAACTCCTGAGTGCAGAGCCAGGAGGAACCCCTGTGCATTGCCGGGTGTGACTCAAAAAGAAAAAAAAAATGTTTGAATATGAGGTTTTCAGATGTTCTTGGTCGTTCTAGGCCACAAAACAAGGGGAGGGAATGGGCTGTTGGGAAAAAAATAATAGTGTTTGTGTGTGGTACTATTTGCAGGGATGACTCAGAGGATTGTGGGGTACTGGCAGGATTGAATCCAGGTCAGTCACTTTCAGGACAATCCTACCTGCTACCTATGCAGCCCTAAACAGTGCCTTTTAAACAGATTATTAGAGCTAGAAATGACAAGGTAAGGAGTATACTGAATGATTTGGGGGCTATTAGTAGCTGTTGAAAGGAGGTTTATTTTTTATTTTTATTAATTAATTTTGTTCGTAGATATGTTACGCTCCCCTGACTGGGAATCGAACGCAGGCCGTGGCAGTGAATTAATTAATTAGAACACCAATTAATTAATTAATTAATTTTTAAATTTTTGAGTAAAATTCGGCAATGCACAGGGGTTACTCCTGGCTCATGCACTCAGGAATTACTTTTGGCGGTGTGCAGAGGACCATATAGGATGCTGGAAATCAAACCCAGGCTGGCCACATGCAAGAAAAATGCATTACCAGCTGTGATATCACACCAGCCCCTTGTAAATTTTTTAATTTAATATATTTGTAAAGGGTTGGAGCGATAGCACAGCAGATAGGGTGTTTGCCTTGCATAATCGACCTTGCATGAGGTCGATTCCTCTGCCCCTCTCGGAGAGTCCAGCAAGCTACAGAGAGTATCTTGCCCACATGGCAAAGCCTGGCAAGCTTCACATGATGTATTTGATATGCCAAAAACAGTAACAACAAGTCTCACAATTTATGGTGATGGTTCTGGAGCCTGCTCGAACAAATCGATGAACAACGGGAGGACAGTGCAGTGCTATATTTGGGAACTTCTTAAGTAGTTCTCAGGAGTCCCACGGGCCACTCCTGGTGATACTCAGCCTTCTAGACTGAGTTTAATGCTGGGGCCCATGGATGTGAAGCCTCTCAGGCCCATGATGTAGGGGTCTCCAGGACACACCTATTGTTGCTCTGGGGACCAGTGGTCCTAGAGGTGCTTCTGCACTATCTCCCAGGCCTTAGTTTGTTTTTTATTTTTATAGTTTTGAGGTCACATCCTGCTGTGCTCAGGGCTATCCTAACTCTGAGCTCAAGGATCACTCCTGGTGAGCTCAGAGGACTCTATGGGATGCCAGGGATTGAACCTGGGTTGACTACAAGCAAAATAAGCACCCTACTACTGTACTATTGCTCCAGCCTTCTGGTTTATATTTTTATTTACAGTTTTTTTTACTTTTGTTATTGGGACATATCCAGGCAGTGCTTAGGGGTTACTCATGGCTCTGGACTTGGGGATTATTCCTGATGGGCTTGGTGGACCATATGGGATACCAGGGATCAAACCCTGGTTGGCTGTGTGCAAGGCAAGTGCCCTACCCATTGCACTATCTCTTCAGCCCAGGTTTATGTTTTTAAATAGGAGACCAGGTCCTCAAATACTAGTGCTTGTAATCTGTGTGGTACCAGAGATGGTACTTAAGGCCTTGCACATGTCAACCATGCACTATTTTGCTTGAACTAGGTCCTGGCTGCTGCTGCTGCTGCTGCTGCTTCTTCTTCTTCTTCTTCTTCTTCTTCTTCTTCTTCTTCTTCTTCTTCTTCTTCTTCTTCTTCTTCTTCTTCTTCTTCTTCTTCTTCTTTCTTCTCCTTCTCCTTCTCCTCCTGCTTCTCCTCCTCCTCCTGCTTCTCCTCCTCCTCCTCCTCCTCCTCCTCCTCCTCCATCTACTCCTCCTCCTCCTCCATCTACTCCTCCTCCTCCACTTCCTCTTCCTCCACTTCCTCTTCCTCCTCCTCCTCCTCCTCCTCCTTCTTCTTCTTCTTCTTCTTCTTCTTCTTCTTCTTCTTCTTCTTCTTCTTCTTCTTCTTCTTCTTCTTCTTCTTCTTCTTCTTCTTCTTCTTCTTCTCCTCCTTCTCCTTCTCCTTCTCCTCCTGCTTCTCCTCCTCCTTCTCCTCCTCCTCCTCCTCCTCCTCCATCTACTCCTCCTCCTCCTCCACTTCCTCTTCCTCCACTTCCTCTTCTTCCTCTTCCTCCTCCTCCTCCTCTTTCTTCTTCTTCTTCTTCTTCTTCTTCTTCTTCTTCTTCTTCTTCTTCTTCTTCTTCTTCTTCTTCTTCTTCTTCTTCTTCCTATGAGAGAGTTCTTGGAAGCATGACATACTACCTAGATTATCCACCCGCACGGCAGAGCCTGACAAGCTACCTGTGACATATTTGATATGTCAAAAACACTAACAACAAGTCTCACAATGGAGACATTACTGGTGCCTGCTCAAGCAAATCAATAAACAACAGAGGACAGTGCTACAGACAGTGTAGTGTTATTGTTTGCAGGAGGAAAGGAGAAGAATAATTTTTATTCATTTCTCTTATTCAACAAACTGTTGTGTTTCATACACCTTAAATGATTCCACACATCAAAATGAAAATAAGTGTGTTGCTTTCTTTAGAGAATTTAAATGTTTTAAATACCAACATTTTGGTATTTATTCA